AAGGATTCCACCCGAATCAGACATCCCGGGTCCCACCAATGGGAGAGAGGCATTGCCCTCCTTCCCTGGGGTCCCTCCCGGAAGCCTCAAGAACCAGCGCCATCAGGGGAACCTCACCGAGAGCTGTGACAGCCCTCCTGCCTGCCACATGACAGCAAGGCGTTTGGGCAGTTATTAACATTCTTGTTTCAACATTCATATCACCTTTGGGCATAAGGCATTCTCTCACTGCAGTTACCCACATTATGAAGAGCAGCTAGTGGGCTCAGAAAGGCTAGTCCCATACCACAGCAGTTTAGCGCTGTGCACAGGGAGTGAGATCCCACGTGGCCGACCATGGTTCAGATCCCACCCCGGCAGCTTGAAAATCCTGCAGGTCAGGTGCTGGTGTGTGCACGCCCCAAATCCTGGTAGGACGGAGGAACGGAGGGAAAAAGATTGCAGTGTGACCATGCCCCATTGGGGAGTCCTTGCCCTCTCCTCTGGTTCTCTCCTCTCTGGTGAGCACATGAGCCCTCTGGTAATAAAAGAAAAAAGCTATTTCAGACCCACTGTCTCCCTTCTCATAGATAGTGGAGCCGAAATTAAATCCCTTCAGACTCTAAGTCTACCTGCTTAACCCTCAAAATCCCCATCTCTCTGGCTGCCACAGCCCCTCCGCTGGCCGGCCCAGGGTTGTTCTAGGCACTGCCCATCCTGGGAAGCAGGCCTACTGGATTTTCCTAAGTCACTTTTTTCTCAAGTAGACAAAACATTTTTGCAAATGAAATCAACAGGAATATGTAGTCATCAGATTTAGAAAAACAGAATTGCCCCTGCAGCACCCCCATGCTGGGCCCCAGCACTCCTAGCACACCGGGCTGGGCTGACTCTGCCTTGCTCAGAGCGGGCAGCTCTGCGTTCTATGCCAGGAGGGGTTGACGCCTCCTCCTCCCTTCGCACCCCAGGCTCAGGTCCTTTAAGGCAGGTGATGGGGACCTTCTCATGCCCACTTAGCAGATGGGGAAACTGAGCCCAGGGCTTCAGGCTTGCCTGCCAGAGCTGCGGCTCGCACTGGGCATCCTGCCCTGGTCCAGTGCTGTTCTTCAAGGTGGCAACTGCCTGCGGGACAGAGGTGACCAGGACTGAGGACAAGAATGGGATGGGAGAGAGTGATACAACCCCAGGTGGGCAGGGTGGGCCCCGAGTCCCTGCCTATCCGGGATCCCACAACATGAGCCTCAGGGCCTGCCCCCGAGCAGCCTGTCCTCCAGGCACCCAGCCTGCGGGGAGAACTTCAGGAGGGCCCCGGGAGACCCTTCCCAGGACACCAAGACGCAGAGCCCTCAGTCACCTGAGCAGATGTGGCCAAAGGACCGCTTGCTGCGGCAAAGCAGGCCAGAGTTCTTGGACAGGGCAACCAGACTAAAGGGCACCTGCATGGCCCTGCAATCCAGAACTGTTACAGACCCGAATCTGAGCTGCTCGGTGTCGGAGAGGTTTGCAATTCCGGGTGTTCACAGGTATTCAGCTTCAACAGGATTTGCTGAGATTCTGAGATCGAGACTGCGTGTTACAGATTACTTGATTCTGACCAAGTGTGCATTTCACTAGTCTCCAACTCCATCGTTCTCCCTGTTGGGCCGAGCCCTGCAAAGCAGGAGCGGGGGCCTGAACCGCGCTGGGCCCCTGGCCACCCCTCCCCCAAGGCAGATCTATGGAACAGCCTCCTGGCCAGCTCGGCCACATAAATCACCCTCCCAATAATATTTGTATTGATTATCTAGATTGGAAGCTTCAATTGGCTCCATTGTCTCACTTCCTCTCCCAGGGCTCACAGATGGGGTCCCTTGGCCTCATCTGTGTTTCTAATGGGACCTTTAAACGGAGCAGCGGCAGCCAGCGTGGCCCCGTGCGGCCCTGGGTGTTGGGGGTTGGAGGAATTCATAAACATATTCCTGGAGAGAGGATGATGAAATCCCAGCGTTCGAGGAGCTGGAGGAGAAGCCAAGATGAGCTAGTCCCGGATACCCAAAGCCTGGGCGAGGTGGAAATGCAGAGTCCCAGGCCCCAGGCAGGTGTTGGGGGCCCAGCCCCACTGAATCAACACCCGCATTCCGACAGGACGCTTGGTGATTCACAAGCACATTACTGCCGAGAAGGCCACCAGCTTGTCTGAGGTCGCATAGCGGGTAAGAGCCACTGTGCTCCCAGTCCAGGCAGAGGAAGTGAGGGCGAGTGGCCTCTCGAGAGAGGGGCCAGCCCTTTCCAGACTCTTCTCCCTGCTGAGCTCCTGCCTCCCGTCTCAGGGTGTGGACAGATGGTTCAGACCAGAGGCTGACCCCCCTGTACTCCCAGCCTGGAGGGGACAGCGAGAGCTCCGGGGCTCCCCAGGAGGGCACCTCCTCCCGCCGGCCAGCCAGCTGCCCCTTCCCTGGCAGCAACTGGACAGCAGATCCCAGGGAAAAGCACCACCTGGGCCTGCCCTGCACAGCCAGGCGCCGCGGAGGGGCAGGGAGGGCCGGCAGGCCTAGAGAGGCACCCCCAGAGGGCCTGGGAGAGGCAGGGAGGGAGAAAGCTGTAGCCCAAGGGAAGAGGGAGGCAGGGAGGACAGAGATGGCAGGGAGGGGGGAGACAGAGATGACAGAAACAAAGAGAGGGAAGGGGTGAGGGCCAGGAAAGGAAGGAGAGGGGACAGAGGGTACAGAGTGCAGGGAGGGAGGCAGCTGGCCTGGAGGTGCAGGAGCCCGGCACGGCCCACCCTGCCCTGCCCGGCCCGGCCCGGCCCGGCCCAGCCCCCAGTGGC